ACAAATGGTTTAGGTTCTACAAACATTTATTTATACAAATAAAGGCGCAATACAATACCCATTATATTGGCAGGAGATTTTAACATTGATTTAAAGGAGGAAAATCAAAGCTTTGTCACATTTATGGAGGAAACGTTTGGCTTAATGTTGATATCAAATCCTCAATGTAGTACTCTTAGATCAAAATCTTGTATAGATATGGTGTTTGCACGAAATGTTGATACTCTAAATTGTACAAATTTTATAACATATTTCAGCTACCACAGACCCATCTTAAGCGTAACTAATTCAAGTTAAATAAGGAATGTCTTAATCAAACTATTTACTCAATTGTAAAGCATGTATAAAGGGAATATTTAGAATAAAGCTAATATATAAACTTCCTTTCATTGTATTTATTGCCTAAATATAATTTAAATACAAAGACGTATTTACGTCAGATTCTCCGGAACCATGGTTCCACTGTCAATTTTTTATTTGCCATCCTGTCCTGACCAGCTCTGGGTTCCACACAGTCTCATCCAATGGGCATAGAAGTCTTTTGTCTGAAAGTAAAGTGACCAAATCATATAGCTGATCTCTTGCCATCATCTGTGCCAAGGGCATTAATGCATGGAGGTATTTACCAAAACAACAACACTACCTTGTGTATATTATTTATAGGGATTACGTGTTATGGTAGTAAGAATTGTGTATATGAATGTTTCTTTGCCTGTATCAGAAGACTCTCCTAGTCTCTCCATTAAGCTATTGTGAGCAAGGAGCAAGACTCCAGCATCAAAGGAAAATATTTGTTGTTTTAAAGCATTGTTTGCCATTTTATTTAACCTGTATCTAGCTTTCTAATTTTTTTCAGTTGCTCAGTTGAATGAAACATATGGCTACGTAAACACCGCTGTTAATGAAACTGAAATTGTAGGCTGTCCTTCAGTTCAAAAGTGGTGTTACTACATTCCAGCAATGACCATAGCTCAGTTTCTCCTTGGTTATGCCTTTACAGCTGTTGGTTATCCAATTGCTGTCACACTCATCCAGACAATATTTTCCAAGATCCTTGGACCACGGCCTCAGGTGAGTAATTTCATGTGAATGAAACATACATAATTACCTGCATTATGAATAAGTATGATGGAAACTATTTTGTTTCCAGAAAGAACTTGTTTATGAAGATGGCTGTCTTCTGGGTTGTTGCATCATGAAGTCTTGTAGAAGTTACTTTATATTAATTACAAATATTATATATGAGGAAAATACAAAACTTATGAATGGCAGGTGCCAGAGACAGTTTCTTCTATGTTGATTTGTAATGGTGCTCAAATGGCTTCAGCCTCCCTTTTTGGGGACACTACTGGGTCAGCTGTGTGTAGATGAAACATTTTCTGGTGGATGTAAGAGGAGACTTGTTATCCCTTCTAGAACCCATGTGGATACCTTTGTTTTATATTGATGGAAATAAATGGCTAACCATCACCGTATTCATGAGTCTAATCCTGGAAAAGGTGCTTTGTTTGATTCACATCTTAAGCAAAAAATAATACAACTTCACCAAATTTGTTCATGATCAGCTTACATTCATCAAATTACAGCTTAGTGCAGCAAGTCCTTTCTGCACGATGTTCTTGCATTTCAGGGTGTGTGGATGGGGTTAATGACAGGAGCAGGATGTCTGTCACGTGTCATGGGACCAGTATTTGTCAGTTTTGTCTATACTCGTTATGGTACCATATGGACTTTTGGAATTACCACAGCAATGATGATTGCATCCATGGTGTGGCTTCAGCTGGTAGAAAAACGACTTGTGGCACCAGATCTACCACCCGTTTCACAAACTCATGTTGAACTTCAAGTCCTTTCTTCTGAAGTGATTAATGGAAAGCCCAGTTTAGAAGAATATAAACCTCTGCAGAAAAAGTCTGATTCAAATTGCACTTGATAGGAAAAGAAATAATAACAATTTCTAGCAAATGTGCAGGGGCACATGAAGAACAAGATATGATATGTTGTGAAATACTTGTTCAAACAAGTTAGAAGTACTGTGATAAAGAGATGATTTCTTTTCAAGTATACAATATTAATAGGCTGGATCTGATAACAAATTTTATTCACCATGTAATAAGTTATGAAATTAAGATGAAAATTTACATATATTTTATCTGGAGACTGTATGTATAAACAAATCTGTATAAGCCTTAATTTATTGAAAATATCATCTTTCTCTTTATTTAATCTGGAATGATAGGACTCACATAACATTAATAATGTTAAGCTATATTTTAGAAAGCATTTCTGTTATAATAATCATGAAGTGGTTCTGTATTGAGAACTACAGAATACCAAAAGGAGAGGTAAGGAATAGCAACTTAATAGAGATTTCAACTAGAAACTGCTGTGAATGTGGATATCAGTGTAAGTCTTAAATAATGGCTAAAATTGCCTTTGCACTGCTCTACACTTCGGTCACAGATGGGTTAGTTCATAGTGAAGTCTGTGTTGCAGCTTTTTTTTAAAAAAAACTGTACCTTTATTCAAATGTCAAAGTACATCATTCCACAGACTGAACTGTTACTTGGACTGAAAAAAAAGGCTTGAGAAAGATTTCTCAGAAACTTGTTTTGTCTGTAACATTGTGGAAATTTCCTTACCACAGGTAATTATTTCTTCATACTAGGTTTAGGTTCTTCTGTACTGATTATGGTATTCGGAAAAAACGAATTAGACATTTCAATATTTGGTATTTCAGATGAAATTACTATATGTATTTTGTTTATGATGTCTTTATAAATCCATTTATAGCAATAACAAAATTATACGACATTTGAAAACCTCTATCTTTTGTTTTTTACAAGGTAAACATCCTTGAAAATGGTCGATTGAAGCTGGAACATGCTTGTAGCCTAGCCTTGAATGGCAGAAGAAGAAAAATAAATTATTGCAGTAGCTTCATTAATTTTTAAATACAAGAGGCCTATCAGGTAAGTGACAGTGCTACTCTGTGCAACACAGATGGAGATGCAGTTATGGTACACACAAGGAATGTATAAGCAGAAAACTGAAGAACAGCAGCAAAGGTATGGTGATTGAAATTATTATTGTTACAGGCTGACAAACAAATTCCATGGAGCCATGTACTTCTTTGGAAGCTGAGAGTCAACCTCATACAAAATTCTATCAAATATTCTTTTGGCGAGATTACCTCCATATGTGAATGAAATTATCAGGGATCATCAGTGTGGGTTCAGATGTAACAGATCAACAACTGATCAGATCTTTTGCATTCATCAGATACTAGAGAAAAAAATGGGAGTACAGTACATCAATTATTTATAGATTTAAAAAAAGCCTACGGCGACTGTGAAGAGAAAAGTGCTATATAATATTCTTATTGAATTTGGTATACCAAAGCTAGTGAGTCTAATAAAAACATGCTTAAATGAAACCTGCAGCAAAATTCGTACAGTACGGCACCGCATATACGGCAGGTTAGGGACCAGACCCCCGCTGAAAAGCGGAACTTTGCCTTTTTCACTTGCGAATTGCAAATGCATATCAAAGCCTAATAAGATG